AGAGAGATAGAGAGTTTTGTATCTCCCTAGTGGCTCGCTGGTACAGAGCCACCCAATTTCCTTCCCCTCCTTAATACTTTCTAACCCTGTTATAGCTGCTTCCCGCACTGTAATAGACGGAGAGTCTTCCTGGACCTAGTGAGGCAGATCCTCTGCCCGTTCGTCCAGTAGCCCCAGCCCCCGTACACTACGGCAGCTGAGGTGACGTGAGGATAACAGAGACGCCGGTGTACCGCCACTGCGTAACCTCGGTAGTTCACCCTCACACGGCAGGGCAGCCCCACTAGGCTGCCTCCCCGTGTCGGAGTTTACTATCTCGTTAGCTAATCAGCACTCAACACAGCATCAATAATTTGATTACTCGACCAACGGCCGTGGGACAACTCGTTTAGGTAGTTTGTTTCGCAACATCAAGGAGGTCTATGCGGCCATCGCAGACCACTTCGGCATCAACTCGGCGCTGACCCGAACAAATAAGAGGAAGGCGAAGATGATCGTCAAAGAGGTGCTCCTTCGTCTTGAGGAGGAAGAGCAGGAGGAGCAGTTACTCGACTAGAAAGCTACTTTTATTATGAACCACAATGGATCCATGAACCACATTGTATTATGACAAGGGCGAGATCGTAATGATTTATGTCAAGAGCGATCTAAACCTGGAACACGAGTATTTTGGCGAGGATCCATTGTACCGATTATTCCGAGAGTCCAAAACTGAATTCAAAATGGCCCGATCACTACGTTCTAGACTGACCCCTAAAATGATGAAGACAACGAAAGACCCCGTAAAAGAGTACCGGAAGACAATAAAGATCATCAAAGGTCAGCTTTCGACACTGCACCAGTTAGGCGCGGTTTATAACAAACGCTTTTACAGAAACAATATTGGAATCGAACTATTTGTAAGTCGTTATGGTTCTGACGGACGACTATTTGCAGGAGTCAAAGAGACGTATCCTGAGTTCTGCGAGACTTTCCCAGAACCAAAACCCACAGACGAATTGATTGCGATTAACGGAAGGGCGTTTCCGGATGATCCCTCAGCGAGTTTCTTCAACCAACTGGATGCTTATATATCTGCAGCAACAACAAGACCTTTAAACTTAACCTTTGTTCAAGGAGAGCACCGCGATAGAGCATTTCTTGAGCAGGTCGAGAAGCATAATCAAAATCGTGCAAAGAAAAAGCAGCCGAGACACCACGACGACAAAGACATGCGACGCTCTGTCGTATTGAACGTTGATTTGTAGACCTGCGTCCGCATGTGCGGTCGCTTGAATGCGTGGCCCCTTTCCCCAGCCGCACGCCCAGGCACTTGGCGAATTGGAGATGCTAGAACAATGAGTACCGGTCGCCTGGAACTATGGATCCATCTTCCAAAGATTCTACGAACTTGGATGTCAAGGGAAAAGAACACATTATATTCTTGTAAAACTACGAAATTTTACGCATACAGCTACATTTCACCAAATCCAACCAAGCTATTATGAATTACATACAAAATCAACATACGATAATTCCGTTATCGCTCTAAAGCATCTTTGCAAAATTCAAAAGGAAATTACTATGTTGGAACCAATAAGGGTGTATATATACTATGATGGAAACAAGTATGGTATGAAATGGTATGATGGAACCAATCGTTAATCATGAATATGCATGAAGTCTAAGTTCATGACATGGTACGGTTCCATCGTTCTCTCGATATTGGTTCCATCATACATATTAACTCATATTGTTTCCATCATGCATATGAGGATATTGATTCCATCATGCATATTCGAGCGTATTGGTTCCATCTCGCTTTATGCAATATTAAGTATTGTTGTTTCCATAAATGTATTGGTTCCATCATGCATATCCGCGGGTATTGGTTCCAGCATGCCATTCCGGATAATATATATTAGGTATTGGTTCCATCTTGCTTATAGGCATATTGGTTCCAGCAGGCGTGTGGAAACAATGTTTCCATCATGCATATCCGCGGGTATTGGTTCCAGGACAATATAAATAGTGTCACTTAGTAATAGTGATACTATCGTTCAGGCGGGGGATATGGGGCGATTGCACCGGCTTAGCATAGTCGTATTGACTTACAGGGGAGCGGGGCAGTGAGTTGGGCGGCCTACACTCAAAACCCGGAACCCGTATGGAATCAAACATCGCGGCGTAATACACTGCGGAAGATAGCCGGAGTCGCGCTCACGGCTCGTCGCTTCCAATGCGAGAGAGAGCTACTCGCCGCCCTCACCGCCCTCACCGCCCTCACCACCCTCGCCGCCCTTCGCCGCGTCCCACTCGTCCTTGGCCGACGATTCCTCGCCCCCCTTGTAGGTGCTCTCACAGCCGTCTTCGCTGAATTTGCTGCAGTGAGACGCAGAGCCGCTCGCGCCGCTTTCGCAGATACACAGCTGGGTGCACTCCATGTCCCACGCTGCGCATCCAGACACGCTGGGATCTTCGCAAGCTGCCTCCGCACTAGAGGACGTGCAATCAGAGAGAAGCTCGAATCCTTCCGAGGCGGCCGAGTCCGCAGCAGAAACATCCCCCGAGCTGGATACAGAAATACACAACGGGTAGAATCCGTACGTGCTGTGGGTCCAAGAGAACGTGAAGGCGAGCCCGTACGTCGCGGGCATATCAACCACGGCCTTCATGTAACCCGTGTCAATGGACGCGAACCAGTCGAGGACACACTCTTCATACCTGTCGAATTCGACAAACCAGTACCCGAACCACTTACGGAAAGAGTCGCCGTCCACGTGATAGAATCCGACTTGAAACTCGACGTGGTCCAAGTTATAAACGGCATCAGTGGCCTCATGGGCCCCTGGAATGGGAATTTCGCTCATGAGTCCCTTCGCGAGCAGCTGCGCACAAGGCCACGGGTTGAGCATCGTGTAGTAGCTCGTCATGGCATCAACGCAGCCAGTTGCTATAGACTTGGGATCGACTCCGTGCTTGGTGCAGAGGTAGTTCACGATACCCTCGGGGTCAACCGTGCCGAAAACGTTAGACGTATCCACCTGGATGCGGCACTCGGACTCAGAAACTGAGCAGTCCTTCGACACCTCATCGTACACCATGACGGCGTGCTCGACGGAGTGTGCATACTTGCCCTCCCACATGCCGATGGACGGGATAGGGTCGAACTTGTGGAAGAAGCGTACGGAGCCCGGGGATGCACTAGCACAAGGCGCGCCCATACCATCAGAAACATAAGCGTTATATCCCTCAGTGGTAAGCAATGCTTTTTTTTTGGCATCATCATATGCGCATACTGAAGGCACATTAGTCTTATCGAATTCTTCGAACTGCACATCAAGGTCTGTGATGGTCATTGCGCCGTAACCGCCGCCGAATTCACCGGACTCAATTTTGTAGTTGCCCAGGCATTCGATACCATTGGTCGGATAGTTTTCGTCCGCGTAGTGCGTCGGGGCCGCGCCGAAGGTGACAAGCTTCGGGGATTTGCCCCAGGAGTAGCCCGGAGGCAGGTCAGTTGAACGGAACGAAGGGTCAGTCCAATACCGGCGGGATTTCGCAAAAAGCGTCGCAGCCGCACCACCGAGCGAGTGTCCAGTGATGAAGGTCGGCTCGGCACTGTCTTGTCCCGCAACAGCCGAATCAGATGCAGGCGCCGCGCCGACATCTACCATCAAGAACATGCCAACGTCGACCATCCTCGACATGCACCCCATGAGCTCTTTCGCGTACAGGAAGTATCCGTGTGGGATGATACTATAGTCGGCATTGAATCCAACCATGACCGGCTTCTGGTTGTTGTTGTACGCAATCATCGTGAGATCGTTGGCCTTGGTGCCCTGGAACGCAACGACATACTCGCGCAAGGAACCGCTCGCCGTGACTGTGTCTTTGTAGAGGTACGAGGCCCATGCGTTGCCAACCTTGAGTTTGGAGAAGGCATTCCACGCCGAGTCAGCGCATCCCCAGTGGTCATCGTCGGCGTCATCAGTCTCTTGGCAATTAGAGAGCTCAGAGCAAATATCAAAAATAAAATCCTCCAACTTGTCCACACCCGCAGCTTCATAGAGATTCCGTTTTTTCCGTGGCTCCTCTTCGTCAAGACGGCGCATTGGTGGTGCGAGGCCTCCCAGAAAATCACTTTCGTAATTGCTGCACGCAAACACTACGTCACTCATTTCTATGCTGTCCATGGCCCAGTTGCCGTTGTCATATCCTCCGTTGCACGTGCCGCCAAGCAGGGCGTGGAAAAACCCCTTGGACATCATGGTGTCGTCGTCGTAAATCTTTGGCTCATCATTCAAGATCTCAAGCGGGACATCTTGGTAACCAAAATAGAAGAATTGAGCCCAGTTAGCGAACGTCTGAGAAATACCCTGGGAACCGGCCATCTCCATCACAAACTGGAAATCGATCCCGGAATTCGGCTCGGCGAAAAGGTCACTTACGGCATCAGGAACTGAGTCGTAGGTGAGGCTGTGCATGAAGAGAGGATCAGCCAAACGAGTGGCGAGCCAGAGGTCGAAGTGCGTTAGGTAGGTCTGCGTCTGGGCTGTCGAAACCGAGTAATCGCAGCTCGGGCACACGTCCGCCATGCTCCGGTGACCCTCATCGTACCGTCGCTTGAGCTCACGGTTCCACTCGTTGTCCCCGAACATGAGATTGGCGGCTTCGCGCCTGTTCTGCGCGTGCCGCGCCTTGCGGCTGACATGTTGTTGAGCAATGAGCTTGCGCGTGTTGCCATCCACATCGACCTGGCCCCAGATGTACTCGGGCGATGTCATATTGGACTTGCGGGTGGCAAAGTCGACACAGGTCGACTCAGTGAGTCCCGAGTGCGGAATGAAGTCATCCTCGGTCGCCGAGTAGGCGATATTGACCTTGACGAAGCTGATCTCAGCATCATCTGCCACCGACTTCAAGTCCATGGAGGAGAGAAACATATCGGTGCTCTTCCGCGGGATGTTGCAGCCAACTATGTTCGAGTACTTGTCGAACTCAAACGTGCCATTGCGGCTCATAAGCTTGCTGTCCCCGGAGGTGCCGTTGACGAGGAGGAAGTTTGTGTTGTAGGCCGACTTCGAAATCTTAACAGACATGCGGTGACCATCGGCCATGTAGTAGCCACTAAGCAGGGAGACAACGTCGTCCGAAGCGGGCAGGTACGGGAGAACATCACCACCAAGCTCGACCTGGTATGCCGCGACGTCAGCGCGCGCAAAGAAGCTGCCTTCGGAGAGACGGCGCGTCTCGGCATCGAGGCTGAGGAGCTCGTCGCGAGAGTACAAGCACGCGCCATTGGCGAGGCAGCTCCCGCCACTGGACAGGCGTCGAGTGGACGTTGTCTCGATGGCCGTATCAATTTTGAGGTGTCCGTCCTCCTCGCGCACCCACGCCTTGGAATCCCGCACGGAGATCTCGATGGTCACGCCCGGCGCAGAGCGGAGCGAGAGCCGCGGGGTATCGACGGTAGAGTCGCCGACGGTGGCGGTCTCCCTCGTAAAGGAGTAGCCCGTCACCTTGTGGTGTTCGATGCCCTTGAAGGTACTGAAGGTGATACCATCGACCTTGTTGAGCTCCGCGGTGCCCAGGAGAGGCAGGTCGAGGAGCGACACGTAAGACTCGACGTCGGCCGTGGCGATAGCTCGATCGTTCACGTCCACGAGTGTCACCGAGTTCATGTTCGACGAGCCCTTAGGATGTACGTCCTTGGTGAACTCGTTGCCGAAAACGACGACGCCGAACATGGCACCCGTCGCCGCGGCCAAGGCGAGCACAGCCAAGAGTACCAAGCGAGTCGAACTCGACTGCGCCTCGGTCGGTGCAAGCTCCTTGGAAAGCGCTGTCTTGGGCGCAGTCGCGCACTGCTCAGGCGAGACCATGACGGCCTCGGAGGAAGACATGGTGGTTCGCTTTGGCACGAAGCGACGCTTCTTTGAGGTTGTGCGACTGGTGTCAGCGAAATCAGTATTCGATGTACCTTAATGTGGATATATATCATTATCCTAATCACGAGCTGTCGAGGGGAATTAGTGGCGCGCTCAGGGCGTCCCGGACGGAACGCCAGCTAGGATTATCGTGTATAGCGAGGACGCGCTATGGTGGGGGGCGTGGCCGACGACCCACCGCCGGAGCGCCGGCAGCTACCCGCCGAGGCAGCACCGAGGAAGGGGAGCCCCATGCGCTCATGGGCTCAAGTCGACTCGGAGAGGGCGTGTATTCAAAATAGTCATAGCTATATGGGATTGTGGGATTATAAATTTCACGTTGGAGCGCGCCGCCAAGGGGAAATGCGTGTCCTATTTCGAGACCTATTTCGAGAATTCTTTTCGTGCTCCCGGTAACGGTGGGTCCGGCTGCCAAGGTGAGAGTGTCGGGAATCGGGTGGCCGAGTACGCGCGCGCCGGCCGGTGGGTAGGCGGCAGCACGAGCTGTCGCAACAACGAAGAGCTTCAAGGGCGAGGAAAGCAGGCATATGCTCGCAGCCGCGTCTGAAGTCGGGTGGGTAGGTAGCAGCAAGGGCTGTTAAAACAGTGAAGAGCGCAAAAAGCAGGCATATGCTCGCAGCCGCGTCTGAAATCGGGTGAGTAGGTAGCAGCAAGGGCTGTTAAAACAGTGAAGAGCGCAAGAGCGCAAGGGCGAGGGAAGCAGGCATACGATTCGGGGACCTGGATATCATGCTGCCGACGAAGCTTGTGCCATCTCGATAAAGCTAAACTTGTGTGAGGAGCAGCGCATCTGTCTCTCCAACCGGCGTGGACAGCTGCCACCCCGGAGTGACGCAAGTTTGCACGCAAGCACTCACATAGCTCCACGAGGACGTTGGCTTGGGTAGCGTTGGCACAGGCGTTGGCACAGGCGTTGGCACAGGCGTTGGCACAGGCGTTGGCACAGGCGTTGGCACATGCGTTGGCACAGGCGTTGGCACAGGCGTTGGCACAGGCGTTGGCACAGGCGTTGGCGCGGGCGTTGGCGCGGGCGTTGGCGCGGGCGTCGGCGCGGGCGTCGGGTGGGGCGTCGGGTGGGGCGTCGGGAGGGGCGTCGGGAGGGGCGTCGGCTGGAGCGTCGGGAGGGGCGTCGGCTGGGGCGTCGGCTGGGGCGTCGGCTGGGGCGTCGGCTGGGGCGTCGGCTGGGGCGTCGGCTGGGGCGTCGGGACGTCTGTCGGCGCCGGCGTCGGGTTTGATGTGGGGGGTAACGGGGTCATGATGCAATCGGGTACTACCGTGAATCCTCGCTGTTTGCAGGTATCGCGGCATGACTGGCCGGACATCCAGTTGGACGTACCACAAACTGCGTCGAAGTAATCCTCGAAGCTGTTCGCAAAATTCCAACCGGAAATCCAAAGCCCTGGACTTACAAGCCCGGTGTTAGAGCAGCTGTAACCGTTATTGGACAGACTCGAACCCAATAGCGCGATGTTCTCGCAAGCGGACAGAATCGTCGGGACTGGCGACGGCTGGGGCGACGGCTGGGGCGTCGGCTGGGGCGTCGGCTGGGGCGTCGGCTGGGGCGTCGGCGCAAACGTCGGCTGGGGCGTCGGCTGGGGCGTCGGCTGGGGCGTCGGCTGGGGCGTGGCAGTGTTCGGCGCGGGTGTTGGGTTCGGAGAGGGGGCAGGGGTAGGTCTTGGACTAAAGGAAGGTCTTGGAGTGGGCCCAGGAGTTGGAGACGTCGACGGTGATGGCGTCGTCGGCAACGGGGTTGGGTCCGGCAACGTAAACGCTCCGTTACACGCTCCGTCGCTACACGCGGAGACGGGTGTGTACGCGGTGTTTCCCGAACAGAAGCTCAAGCACTCATCTTCCCACAGGCACTGGAGACCACCCACATACCCAGACGGTACCCAGTATGTCGGTTGCCATCTGTTAAATCGATAAGCACGGCCGGGCCGCCAAACATCGCCACAACAAGAATCGTCTTGCAGGCGCCGAGCACGCCCTCCTATCACCTCGCCCATGCGCCGGCGGTCGTCACCGCAACGCTTCACTCGGCAACCGTCAGGGCACCAGTCTGACTGCGTGTACGTGACCGTGTAGTTGTTGTCGATGTAGAAGAGGCCGCCATCGTATGACTTGACAGTCGCCGAATCCGCAAATCCGTTGGAGAAAGTGTGGTGCACAGACGACACAGTCATGTACTCCTCATACTCCTCTCCTGACGGGGCGATTACAGAAAATTCGATGTAGTCCTTCGCGGCGATCTCTTGGGCGTTCATCTCGAGGATCTGGTCGATGGGGCAAGAGGACTTAAACTGGCGAGTCTGCACAACATTGCCCTCGAGGGTCCGCATGGCCGAATCATCCGTGTACTTCGTCGTCTTGGTTATTTTGATGCTGATGAGCGCACCGCCAACGTTGAGCGCAAATAGTACTACCATGAACAATATTATTCCGAAGAACAGAAGGATTTTAGTCTTCTTCTGCTCGTCGACAATTTTGTTGAAGAATCGCATTGTTGACTGCCGCGACATTCCCGGAGGCGGCGCCGCATCGCGCGTCTCGAAGTAGGCAGCCTCTGCCTTGCTCCCGGCCCCCGTGAGAGTGGCAGACTCGATCGCCTCTATTTTAGGGTCAAACGCAACCATAGCCGTCATGGGTGTGGGACGGCACTGACGACTTCGCTATGGCCGACGGGGCCTTTGACTGCGACTGTCAGCGAAATCAGGCAGATCTGTATCCTCATATATCTTTCCTGCCCATTTCGCTGACGACGCTAATTGGTCACCCGACGATAAAACCTAACATAGCCTACGACGATGGCAGAGGCAGTAATGGTGTCGCCTGAGCAGTGCGAGACGACTCCCCGGGGCATGAAGATGGTTCTCCAGCCGCGGCAGCCCCCGCCACCGCCCGCGTCGACGACGCGCAGGGTTTTGCTCTCTTTGCTCGCGCTGGCGACTGCCACTGGCGCCATCTTCGGAGTGGTGGTTTTCGGGAACGAGTACACCAAGGACCTACACCCCGACGGCTCGTCCCACCTAAACTCCGTCACGCTCGTCGACAACAAAGACCGGGCTATCGCGACGGCGGACGTAGAGTCCTTTGTGTCTCTCCTCGACCTGCCCCTCCTCGGCACGGCTGAACTCAACAAGATTGACGGCCTCACGTTTGCCACCTCTTCTGGAATCCAACACCGCAAGGTCACAGGTTACTCAATCGCCATGAAGACGGTTCGCGTCGATGGTGTCACTCAGCAAGCACCTCACTTGTCTCTCAAGACGACCTCGGATGAGATCTCCATAGAGATCTCGGCCGCGGAGTCCCGCGCTTGGGTACAGGAGCGTGTCCATCAGCTAGAGGTGGAAACTCCTATTGATACTAGCTCGGTCCGCCGTCTTTCCGGTGGTGGGAGCTGCCTCGAGAATGGCGCCTGTCTCTATTCGCGCGACGAGCTGCTCACGCTAGACTCAAAAGCCCGCCGCCTATCGGAGGGTAGCTTTTTTGCCCGTGCGGATTTGGCCACCTACCAGGCCGACCTTGGCGGCGGTGATTTGTCGGAGGTCCTATCAAATAGCCCTGGAATGGCCGCTCGTCTCGAAGGGACGTACACGGAAGATGGCCATGTGATGGTCCTGCGGATTTCGCAGCTAGAAGAGCGCACAGATTTTTATTTTTTTAATGCGTCCGGAGGTTCGAAGCTAATTACTAGGAACGGTTCCTTTACCTTCGACCTTGATCGGAAGATGACTGGCTGCACGACCCCCTCGAGGGAGACTCGAGATTTTCTCAACTCGTTAGATGTGACGGACGTTGCAACGAACGGCGAGATCGACTTCGAGCACGTTTCTCTGGTACACGTCGAGCGCGCAGCAGACGATTTCATCCGAAATGCAGACTTGAGTACTGACGACTGCATCAAGTTCCTCACCAATTACGGCAATATGTCATCGCCGTCATTCATGAACGGTATCAACTCGGGGAACCTGCAGCGGAGACTAGCCCAAGCCCTACACGCGGGCAGCGACCATGCCTACGCGCGTGAGCTTCGCGGGCTCATGTTGGCATCCAACGATCGAAACGAGAGACTGCAGCAAATATTTTCTAACGAAGCCGATGCGCAAAAATACCTTGACCAAATGCGCACACGAAGGCGGTTTCGTGAGCTACGAAAGAATAAGGAAACTCGCAACGATCGATCTCTGGCACCGAGTGACTTCACTTACTGGGTAGATGTATGTTCAAGCTGCTCTATGACGACGACGACTCTCGGATATGATACGTACCTGACTCACTTCGATCTGTGGATCGCCACTCGAAACGCGGACCCCACATTCGTGTACGATTACACGCACGTGAACGACATGGACGGTATCGTTGCAGAGATTTCGGGGAGTTCGCCTATCCCTTCGAGCTTCGTCCTTGAGCTCTCTGGCTCCTCCGGTGTCGGTCTCGAATTTCAGGAATGGAGCAACTTCCAGGGTTTCCCGTTCTCCTATTTCCCTTCAGACCTGTATTATTGTAGTGGCTGGAGTTGCGGTACTGACGCTCAGGGGAACAAATTGGATTCTGAAATGCTCATGTCGAAGGCTTTCTGGCACATCTTGTTCCCTGGTTCGTGCAACGGTGGTTACGGCTTCGGTTCCCACAACCGTGTACAAGCCATGGTGGGGCGGTACGCGTGCTACAACATGTGGGAAAGTGAAAATTTCGATCTCGACCTCGGATGTGCAGCTATGAGACGCTTGGACGAATCGAAGCCGCTCCCGGGGGGGGAATTCACGCAAAAGCTCGTGCAAGAGGCTCGAAGGAACCATGGACCTCAGGCCCACCACTTGAAGGACGACAGTGAGAATGCCTCCGGAGACGACAGCACCCGTCGTCGTCTGCAAATGAGCAAGAGTTTTTGCCAACAGCTGGACACCATGGTCACAACCGCCTGCGACTATTTCATGACAGAAGTACAAGACCTCGATGGGTGGTATAAATGTCAAGCGGCACAAGCGCACCCCAAGGGATCTGACGAGTACAACAGGGAGTGGGGCAAATGTTTAGATCATTATGTTGGGACCGTAACTGACAAGTTCGAAATCGGGAATGCGTGGGCAAGTTACTTAATGCGCACAACTGACGGAGCCGACGGGTACAAGACTGAGTACGTTGTCTCATTCCAAGGGACTAAGGCGACGGACCTCACCATGATTCAGTACAACAACGATCAGGTCCCAGTCATGGTCGTGCTGGGAGTAACGCCCTTCATCATCCCTCGTGGATACTACAGGTACATGAACGAAAACGAGGATTGTCTAATGCAGATGATTGCGATGGGATTCGACGACTACATGGGCACCGGTGGTTACGGGGTAGAGCCGTCATTCATCACCGGGCACTCCCTCGGGGGTGCCGCCGCTACGTTGTTCTCTAAAAAAATTCCGCACTGGTACGATATCAGCTTGCGCTCTGGTGAAGGCTTTCCCACGTTCTCGTACCCGCGACTGGTTACTTTTGGTGCGGCGCCAGTCTCATATCAGGGTACTGCTCCATATTCTGATGCGTTCCGAACGGACAACCACAACATTGAGTGCTATGATACTGGATTCGAATTCGGGGATACCGCGCTGTGCACCTGGGGTAGAGTGTATGACGACCATATTTCGTCGTGGAAACAAGCGGATGTGATAACCCAGGAGGGTTGGATTGAGTACGAAAAAATATCAGCTACGCCATGCAAGTACACCAACCCCAATTCCGTGGCATTCCGTCACAAATTTGACCCTATCCCGTCTATTGGTATGTGGGGAGGTCACTATGTGCACCAGATAGCCCACGGAGTAATCCTTTCTGAGTGGAAAGAGCCAGGACAATGCTCTTTGGGACAAAGCGGCTGTGGGGCTAACACAGTGATTGCCGACACGAGCAACTATCTTTATTACGATGACGGCTCTTTTGTCGATGTCAAGGGTATCCGAGAATTCCTGTGCCACGCACACAGCATGAAGCCCATGGCCGTCGGCTACGAATGCGTCGATAAAATCACGTCGTACATGACTATGATGAACCCCTTTCCCTGTGGTCAGATATTGATCGATGGGGCAAACGACTTGCAGGGCACACTGGAATCGCAGATGGACTCCATGGCGAATTATGCGCTCGGTCTAGCTGGCGTTCGTGATGTTAACACGAATGATGTTGGCGGTACAATAGAGACGATAGCGGCGGGTTCGGCGAATTGGCTAGAGGAAGCTAGTACATTATTTTACCAGTTCGAACATTTTGAAAATTGTCAGGCGGACTGGGTAAACGTCATGGATGCATACTACATTTCGGCCGTCGTGGACATGCCTACGACCGCGGGCGTTGCTTTCGCCTTCACTTATGTCCACAGCACGTATGGAAACTATCCGCTGTGTGTCGGTCGTGACAACCAAGGCAAATTTGCTGCTATAAACACCGCTACAGAAGCAGGCATGTTCCCGTTGATGTCAGATGCGGTCTCAATGAACGACATACTGAGTTGCGAGAATGCAGCGACTTTCGAGGCATACAACGCATGTCTGTGCGCGGTTTCTCCAGCCACGTGTCAGGTCCCTCCGAAACCAGCGAATTGAGGCCCCTCCGAAACCAGCGAAAAAATGATAGAGCATCATGTCCGACAAACTGAATTGCGAGAATGTAGCGACTTACGAGGCATACCATGCATGTCTGTGCGCGGTTTCTCCAGCCACGTCTGCGGCCCCTCCGAAACCAGCGAAAAAATGATAGAGCATCATGTCCGACATACTGAATTGCGAGAATGCAGCGACTTACGAGGCATACAACGCATGTCTGTGCGCGGTTTCTCCAGCCACGTCTGCGGCCCCTCCGAAACCAGCGAAAAAATGATAGAGCATCATGTCCGACATACTGAATTGCGAGAATGCAGCGACTTACGAGGCATACAACGCATGTCTGTGCGCGGTTTCTCCAGCCACGTCTGCGGCCCCTCCGAAACCAGCGAAAAAATGATAGAGCATCATGTCCGACATACTGAATTGCGAGAATGCAGCGACTTACGAGGCATACAACGCATGTCTGTGCGCGGTTTCTCCAGCCACGTCTGCGGCCCCTCCGAAACCAGCGAAAAAATGATAGAGCATCATGTTGCACACTTGCTAAATCTCGTCTTCAAACCTGAACACCCTTGAATCGAATCATGGTTTCAAACCGAAAAACCGACCTCTATTGTATCATTCTTGATATGGTGATACTGAATTAGTCTGATATAAATCGGTATCCTTGAACTATCCGTTTGAAGACCAAACCCGAATAGGGTACTGGAAGTGCGCCACGCACGCGCAATCCAAGAATCTTCTTGCGACTATTTAAAGTCTATTTAAATAGTATATACTAGCAATAGCAAGTATGCCATATAAGCTGGTTCCTGGTTCCTATCGCTTACGAAAGGTTGAATTGACCGAAGAAGAAGACAGAATAGCACTTTAATAATGATTTCAAAATTGTATCCTTTTGGGAGGGTCTAAATCACCCTGCAAGGTTCAAGGTTCTGCCCAGTTTTTGATTGCAATTTTTATCATTATGTGAAAGTCGGAACTACCTACATAATCTACCTAACCTAAAACCTTAAACCTCTAACCTACCTAAAGTTTCATCAGCAACTGAAATAGTTGCTTTTTGTTCTTATTAGAATATCCAGAAAGAAAGGGGATAAGAAGAAGGCCGCAGTCATATACTTGTAATGAGGGGAAAGCGAGCCTAAGGTAGGTACAGTACTAGCATGATAGTAGTAGGGTAGTAGTAGAGGGCGTGCCGTAGTGTATAGAGAGAGAGACATACAGCAAGGTCAGTCTATATTCTTTGCAAGAAAAAAACAGCAAGGCGTCATTTTCAGTCGTTGAAGAAGAAGGAATAAAAAAATGACTAAAATTGTTGTCTTGTCTTTTTTATCAAAACCCAAAGTCAAAATTCACTTACAAAAGAGACATTAAGAACAGCGGTGCAAGCTCGTAAATGATTCGCAACCAATGGCAGCCTCATTGTTCGCCATTCTGCTGCTAGGTTGTCCAGAGCCAGGGTGACCCGCTCTTCAACAGTCAGGAGTAAGAGAGGAGAGGGAAAGAACGCCTTAGCAGGTCGGAGGTGACGGATAATCCCAGGGTTGGTTGACGGCATGGGCGTGCCATGAGAATACAGCAGACTCCTTGCATCACTGCAGAAAAAATTAGCAGCATGAGCATCTGATCAAGTCATGGCACCAAAAGGGCACTCAAAGGGTACCAAGGCAGAGGCGAAAGTAACTGCAGAGGAAAAGGCAGCAACAAAGTCACACAGGCCAAGGTTCATATGTATCGACGGGGCAAAGGTAGAAATCCAGGTACAGCATCAGTTCTATGAGGAATGTACAGTGTCCCGCTCGCTGTCCGTCTTCCATCTTCTCCGTGCCTGGGTAAGCTCTAAGATATTCAGGTCCCCGCTACTGCTCGAGGGCCGATCCCAAAAAAAGTGGGTTCGCATATAATCTTCAACTGCAGCGCTTTCAATATCAAACCATTGTCCAGTTGCGGTGTGAAGCTTGCCTGGGACAGGGAATGTCGATCCTGCTCGGTTTCGGAAGCGCAGACCAAGAAGCGAAAACTTGGTCATGTGCTCAAGAAAGTGATACGCTGCCTCGTAGCCAACTCCGTATTCGGCATGAAAGTAGGCAAAAATCTGCTGCGATGTGCGATGCATGAGATGGAACTGTTTGGGGAGTCTCTGGTTCTTTACCGACTGCGATGCCGCATATCCGTACTCATGCTTATTGCTACTATCGAGGTGGTCAAGGAACTCTGATACGCTGCAGAAACGCCTGTCACGCCAGACGGGGTATGGGAATAATATTAAAATCATAGTCATTTTCCGGTAGTCTTGATCATCTATGCCAAAGTCAGTACTCCCCTCTTTCAGAAGCTCTTCGTCACAAAGACCAATTCCTGCCCAAAGCTTACACCATGCCAAGCGATGTTCATATGAAACATGCGTGTGGAAGCCATGGTCAATGATTATGAGCTCGAAGTGTATGTTCGCGATTCCAGCAATATACATATCGCCTTTCAATTTGGCTCGCTGGTGGAGTGCAACGTAAAACTCAATTATTCGAGAATTTCTCTTTCCAAGAAACTTACAAATCTCACGACATGTCAGATTTCCCGCAAAAACGCGCAGATGTCCACCAAAGAAAAAAAATAAGATGTTGATAGAAACGAAAAGTATCGAGACGACCGCACTGGCAATGATACGCAACAATCTGTTGAAGAGGAGAAGTGTGGTGTTGGCAATTGGACACAGAACTACGACACTGCCTATGATACGGTCAAGCAGCAACAGAAGCAAGCGCAAAGCAAGGGTATATATTGTGACAAGAATTGTGAGATACAGATATGGCGACTTGATACATTTCCGTGCCAGTGCCTGCACTCTGGTCGAAGACCGCGCGTCGTCGGGCACCAGGCGAACCAGGGCATTACCAACATGGAGATCGTTGTGCATGTAGCCATGCACAAAGCAACACTCAGCGAAAAATGATACAAGTTCATCCAAGGCAAGGGTGTACGGAATGCCCGCACGTTCCACAACCCTACGGTCGCCCAAGCTGACGGCGTTTTCCATAAATTCCTGGATCATCGCGGACCTGGCGCAGTACTTCCACATCACGCGAGGGAAGCGAAGCGTGCAGTGTTTGCTCCTTTTGGAAAACTTGCTCCGCTCCATAATTGCCGCAAGCCGCTCTCGGTTCGCACCTTCAATGCGAAAGTCTACCTCCTGCTCGAGCATGGCGGAAAGCATGTATAAGAAGGGCCGCAAGCCGTGGTTTGGATTAATTTTGTCCATGAATTGGATCATGTATGGAAGGATAGCTACATCAGCCTTCAGAGAATCGCGTACGCCAGGGTGCTGTACCTTGACTAAAACTTCTTGATAGGTGGGGCATCGTAAGACGGCGCGATGAACTTGTGCGATGCTCGCTGCTGCCATTGCTTCAGACTCAATAGTCTCGAATATTTCGTGGTGATTGCAACCAAAGCCATATTTAGCATGCTCAATGTTGGGGAGTATCACACTCAGAGGGACACTCCAGGCTTTGTCTAAGCACTCCTTCAACGGAGCGCGGATCTTCTCCGGGAGAAGAGCCTTCTTCATCGCCAGCATCTGGCAAAGCTTGACCTGGAATCCCCCATTTGTCAGCGCCATATCACGGACCATCTCAGCAATCTGCACCAAATCCTCGTCGTCTCTATATTTGATATCCTCGTATGCCTTTTTAGCCTCACACATGTCCTGCTTTGTCTTGTACTTAACCGCCCATGCCTGCAATTCACGCGTCGATCGCTCCTTGTACCTTTTGTATTTTTTACCGACATGTCTGAGAAACCAGACTGTGTCAACACTACGTTGCCCTCCTTTCAATATATCTCGTGCGTCTCTCCACAAACTTTGACTTTGGGCTGGAGTGTCGTCGCAAGGAATCACGCGAGCACGATCAGGAGCGGACTGGAACATCGCTTACAGGTTCAAGTAACCAAACATACTGATGGTAAAATAAAAGTTTAGGATCAAAGTCAAAACGGACCTCTCTTTCGCACGAAGGTTCACCACGGACCCCAAAAACAATGTCAAAACGGACCCCGACACCAGCCTCCTTTGGAGAAAATATCAATACGGACCCCGCTGGCGTGAAAAAAAACAAAGATGGACCCTGCCGGCGCGGACAAATACCAAGATGGACCCCATAACGCAGTTTTGGATTCACATCGGCGGAAAAAACACCAAGATGGACCCAATTTATTGGATTTTTTGGGGACCTGCCGCAGAGAAATTGCATAGAGAGCGACTGTTAAGATGGAACCAATCGGATAGATTAATGGTATGATGGAACCATGTGGTCGAGAAAAGCATGATGGAACCAATATTCATGCCTATGATGGAAACAAACTAATGCGGGTTTGTCGACGCTACCTGAACCAATACCACTCAATGGACACTTTGATCATCTCCATACCCTGGTGATGAAAAACCCGCACGCCCATTACTTAATGCGCGTAGAAAAGTTATCAAATAGATGATGGAACCAAGATTTCGACGCGAAATGCATGATGATGGAACCAAGACTTGCGACTCCATTTTTCACCATGTCCTCGACAAGGCTTATTGCTTGGTTCCAACATAGATTTTGCGCCATATGATTCCAACGTCTTCCCGGGCGCCTGCCTCGCCGTCGCCGGCGTGGCGGCGTTCGTCGCCGCGGGCGCGGCGGGGAAGGCGCGCGGGCGCTGCGGTTCGAGCCTCACGCGGTGCGCGCCTACCTCTGGCATTGGCCCATCCACCGACATACTACCAGTGCCCCAGACCACACCTAAGCCCGCGGACATGTGACCCAGCGCAGCTCCTCCGCGAAGAGGCCGTCGCCAACGCCACATCGCCACCCACGTCACCAAGAAAGCGCATCTTCTCGCCGTCATCCCACTGGCCGTCGCCCGCCAGACCGTACGAGTCTATTGCGTTGTTGCAGTTCTTGCGTCTTGAAACGGGATGAGCTTGGTGGCAGCTGTGGACGCCGACGCCGCGCCGCACAATGTGGTCTGGTCTCACCCCTACGTGGACCCCGAATACCACCACCACCCCCTCCACCACCCCCACGACAACCACCTCCACCCCCCCCCCCGAACTTGTCCTGCCAGCCGAGGAGAGCCTCTACGCGCCGAGGTGGCCGCCGTCGTCGGAGGACGGCTACGACGACGAGTACCACGACGACGACTACGACGAGGAGGACCACGACGAGCACCACGACGACGAGCACCACGACGACGAGGACCACGACCAGGAAGACGACCAGGAGGAGGTGGACGACGACCGCGTCGACGCGCCGACGCCCGCTGCGCCCGCGCCCATGGAGGTCATCGACCTCACGCACGAGGACGAGGAGGAGGATCACGTGCTGCCGCGCGTGCGTAGCACGCGCGGGGTCATCAACAAGTACAACGCCGCGGCACAAGCGCGCGCGCCTATCTCAGAGCGGTCTCAGCCGATTATCTCGAGGCTTTCCCCATCCTCCTTCTGGCATTCGCAATTTTGTTTCTTTGTGTGGTTCCTGGCCGCTGTAGTGCACGAAACTCTCTTCTATTAGGAGAGCATTGTAATGCGCACAGTCCTTGGACCCGCTAAAGATGCGCCAGACGTCCGTCTGAACGGGCCTTTCTTGCCCGTCCACTTGCTCGCCTGGGTTGTAAAGCACGATGGCGACCGCGCATCCAACGGCAGGGCTGATCTCGCTGGTGGCTTGTGCGATCCCGTACAGTTTGTTGCGGTTCGCAAAGTCCGTAACCACGACGATCGTTCGTTCGCCATCGAAAGTGGCAATTTCCAGGTCCTGCGCGCGTTTGGTCTGTTGCTTGATCCACATGTGCTGATGCCATTTGTTTGCTTTATCTGCCAACTTGTTGATGATCTCATCATACGTGGACTGAACTTTTACGAACTTTTCCGCATAGCAGTCATCGCATTTCGGGGCCGCGTTGATCTCGCGTCTTGCATGGTACGTGAGCGGCAATGCCAGTCGTTTGCACCCTTCCTTTGGCATCACTATCTGGTAGCCAAACGTGCACTGTGCGCATTTGCTGTGATGCTCAGGGAGGACTTTGTCGGCGCCTTTCGGCGGTTGTTTCTCCACGGCACAGGGGAACCTGTAGAATTCAGGCGGCTCGTCCTCCGTGGGGAGCTGAAATCCAGGGCAGATCGTCTTGCCGCACGGTGACAGTGCAAGCCGTAAAGCATGCGGGCTTTGTATTGCCGCGCGCCATTCCGATGGATATTGCTGCTGCCAGTCCCTGGACCTACCGACAAACGGCGCTGGAACTTCATATGCCTTCAGGACCACAGTCACCTCCTCCCGGATGAGGGCCTGCAGGTGTTCTGGTAACACTGCGATCCTCGGCGGGTCCTTCACGGCCCCGTCTAACCCGCTGTTACAGCCTTTCAGAAACTCCGCGTGGACTTTACAGAAGTCGGCCGAGACTCCCATATCCAACCAGTGAAACACCAGACTTATAAACTCCATCGGCCCGTTCTGATCCGTAGGCGACACGAAATTCCACAGTGGCTGCACCACATGTCGCACAATCGCCCGCAGGGCGCTTTGCGCCTCCGGCGGCCCGCATGGCCGCTTCGGATCCGCCGCCGCCGCGTGATCGAAAAGGTGGACTCCAAGGTGGACTCCGAACCACTCCCGGTATCCCCCTTCGCTGTAAACCAACGCGACACTGTAGTAATGCAGCCCCTCGATCGACCCCGTCCGTAGAACCGAATTTAAAGTCACCCCTTTCTTGGACGCCGGACCCGCGCGCACGGCGCTCGGCGGCACCTTGCCGAAATCAGACCTGTGCGCCAGCTCCTCCATCCTGTCCTCCGCGCCCTTTCGGAGGGTGACGAGCGTATTGCCATAGGTGCCTCTTGCGACCACGTCGCAAGCGCCCGTGGACCGCGCCACCCGCTGCAGAGCTCGGCCAAAGTTGTCCTCCGGCGACTTGCCCAGCACTGCTTTCGCTGCCGCCGTAGTGCGACCCGCGTCCTCCAGGCCGGCGCACAGCGCCTTGGCCTTCTGAGCCAGAGACCCGCCCAATAGCTCTTCCATCACCTTGAGCCCTAAAGACCCAGGTTGACGCGAGCTCGGATCCTAGGACATCCTGATCCAAATAATCCCTGTGCGTACGATATCGCCGTGAGACTGATTCGCGGTGGCATCTCGCTGGACGCGGGCGGATGGGACCAGTGTCCGCTGCGCGACGCTTGCGTCGACCGACGTCTTGAGATAACTGAGTTGCTGGTGGATCGTGGAGCCCCTGGTCTGTGGCGTGTCATCCGCGAGCTGAACGAGCCCCGGGGAACTTGACAAAGGGATCTATCTGAATAGAGTACCAGCTTGAGCTGCCATCATCCCCATGATTTTATATTACCCTGCTCCCTCACTATCGCGACGTCACACTATGGAGATGACACTGCACTCTTTCTTTCTCGGCCCCGCCCACGGTATTGGTATCTACGTATAGATAAGCTCGAAAACTAACCCGATGTTGCTACATTCGATAGGACTACTAGGGACTACACTTGGTTTATTTTTCTTTTCAATGGGCGTGATCACCCGCACCATCTCGCGAGAGTGCACTTCCAATTCGCTGCAGGTTGACATTGAGGAATGCCTCGTAGTGCCCTCCCTCAAGAGACCCCAGTTTCGCAGGGACATATCTCAGAAGGCTATTCCAGCCGTAGACTGGGTGATTCCACTTGTGATACTGCAGTGCGCGATAGTGTTGACCCGCGCCCGCTGTTTTTAAGAACAAGATGGACCCTGCGTATTTGCCAAAATTAAAAAGGGAAAGAATTCTGTTGGTGCGGTGAACATTTGACTGAATAAACTCGACCGACTCCTGCGTGGATACAAACAAGAAGTAGTCGACAACCCTTGATGATTCTGTATGTAGCATTGGAAAGGCACTAGTGACTTCCATCTCTAGTGCTGAGACACTAGTAATGCTACCACACAAAACTGCATATGACAACCCTGTATGTGACTCGACGAAATTCTGAAAGAATTCATCATACATGACGGCTCGCAACTGCAAGTATGTACATTGTGGGAACGATCGTCGTGAAATCGGGGTTGGGTCGACCAGACAAAAGGACTCTATGCGCATGTTGAATTCTCGCGCATCTTTGACCATCAAAAATGCGATGAATGCACCATGGGAGTACCCAACTAGCGTCAGTTTCTGACGAAATGCCTTCATTTCCCGAGCAATGATAGAAAAGTACGATCGACTTCGATGAGTGATCCCCACCGTGTTCTGCCGATGCAACTGTGTGAGCTCAGGAGCTTACAAGGAGATTAGAGGTACTTCGCTACTGAGATGCGAATCGAGACCGGCTCCAGTAGGAAGGCCAAATGCAGTGTGCACGATTACCACAGCTGGCTCTAGCAGACTTCCATTACTTCCGCGCTATAACCATAGAAACAGGCCGCTCTGCGCATTAAGATGTATGAGCCTCGTCTTTGACTCGACTAGACACGAAGCAAACCCAAACTGCCATGTTAGTCTGCGAGTTTCTGGACTCAAACCCTTGTTGTTGTGGCTCAAGCTCGCAGTATATTCAACATCACCTCGTCCGCCCTCGAGGACCACACCTGGCAGTAGTTTGTTCTGTATGATTGATAAGACCTTCAAGGGCGAGTCTGCTAGCATTTCAAATGCCACTGTTAGAGAAACCGCAGTTGCGCATTGGCGGATTTCTTCATCGACACGTTTGTTGTTGTACGCCCAGCATTTCGCGAACTTCACGCCAGCAGGATGACAGAGTACATGCAAAAATCATGGCTGAATAATATATCATCCCAAGTAAGAAACGGGAGCTTCGGATAACTGATTTTCGAAAGATATCAAAGTACGAGGGGATATCCATTCAACTAGATTGCACATTGCATCTCGAGTGGTATCGTATCCTTTTGGCGTGAAATTTACGAGGTCTCTAGCTTATTCCAATGAAAGCGCCTTTCCCAATAGAATTAAGGTCAAGAATCCATCATCCAACCCATGCTCACAGTAGAAATCATTGCGTTCGGTCAATGCTTCGAACACTAGCAGTCCTGTGTTTTCTGCTACAATTAGTGATTACTGATGTTTAAACTGACTCCGCAAGAGGGTGAGTTAGTCCGGCCCATCTGTCCTTGTCACCGTCACTACTGTCACTACTGGTCGGGCAATTTTCCTATACTGATGCCGAGGAGTCGCAAGAGTAGGGATCTTCGTCGGCTCCTACATCGCATCATCACTTGTGGCCCGTGGGGATAGGAAAGCGGATCGAATGGCTGGATATCAAACCGAGAAAGTCGATGGCAAAGAGGGCTTCGGCAATGGTGACGGGCACCTTTGGAGAGCTCTATCTTGGCGCCATGACCACCGATTTGGAAAATTCTTGTTGCATCTGAAAGGCCTCAACGCCGTCTCGGCCGCTGAACCACTTACTTGAAATCCAGAAGGGGAAGTTAAGCTCGGTATTGTATCCCCGCGAGCCCGAGAAGGGGAACATAAGCCCGGTATTGTATCCCCGCGAGCCACACTTGACTTTGATTCAGCTGTGTTCGATGATCATAACTAGGTGATGTCCCGCTTCAGAAGAACAGCGATCGAGCTTAGTTTCAGGGGATCAGATGATTCAACTGGAGCGACTTCTACACTTGAGCTCCTACTCGTCGCGGCTCCCCCCGCTACATGTTCCCGTATCTCCACACAGGCAGTCCCGCAATTCTGAAAGTGCCCGCGCTCTTTGGTGAATCAAGCTATGGATGCGATGACGGAGCTGGCGGTCAACTTTGGACACTCCATCGGAATATCATGCCCGGAATCAAGCACAGTCATATAAGCATCTGCGGCAACTTTGATTGGAATGAAATCCTCACCAAGGTCGAGTGGGACACGCAATGGCTTTGAAAATGCCGAAGCGACTGGCGAAAGCATGTCAATCATGTTCACGGACCGGCTTTTCAAGGTGGGGAATTTGTTTGATCAAGATCCTGCCATGAGATGCACCGGACACTAAATCTCACTTAATCACGAGAATGTGTCTCAGAGAGCTCCAAAGAGAGAAAGTGACAACGATGCTTCAACCATGGGTGCGCAATTACGGGTCAAAGTGCCATCAGACTCGCCCGACACACCGAACTAAACATAGGCTTCGACTGTGCCATCTTGCCAATTTTGACATTCTGACGCCTTCAAGGAGTCAGCCACCTCTCTTTTACTCTTGCAATCGTCAAGGTTTGAACGACGACTCATTATGGCTGCGGCTAACGACTCCTTCTCTGCAATAGTGGGAGGTTCCTGCGGCTGTGCTATCATTGGCTCGAGGAGCAAGATGCCATCGAAAGTTCCGGGTGTTGCGATCTCTGCCAAAGCAAACCCAGTACCTCCCATGCCATGCCCAACGCCATAAGTTGGTCGTCCAATGCTGCCTATGTCATCGAGGAGTTCTCTAACGTCGCCAGCGAGAATCTTTCCCCAGTCGTTTTGGTCAAAAACTGGCGAAAGTTGCCGCGAAGATCCGTGTGAGGTCCAGTCAAATGCTATGACTTCGCAGCAATGCACAAGCTCATGTGAGTTGTTTTGAAGTTCGCGCAATACCAATGTCCAAATGCCTCGGTTGTAGCCTCCTCCGTGTGCGAAGAGTAGGAGTGGGATGACTTCACCTGTATCCACCCGTCCGACATTCCCCCTTGAAAATGCAAGACCCCCTGATGTTCAGCCTGCTTTAAACCCCATATGTTCCAACGAAAATACATGCCAGGCGCTTCTCGGTGGAAGTGACGCAACCGTATCCAGTTCAGTACAATTGTCATACAAAGCCGTAATCACGGATGATACCTGAAGCAGGGACGTTTCGCGGGTGAACACATCAAGATGATTCGAGGACAACTTGAACTTTGATATGGCTCAGTTGTGCAATAGGTTGATCCATCCATAGACGTCATCAGAATCTGAAAAATTATATTTCATTTGCCGGAAGAAAGAGTCACCGTCAGCCGTCGAAAAGATCGCAACTCAATGTCCTTTTGTCGCAGAGCATGATCCATACGATGCATCATATTCTTCTATGAGGATCATTGCCACATCGACTATAGTGGAGATTTCGATTACGTATTTAGGTGCAACCATCCCCGCATATTCCTCGAGGACGTGGGTTGATCCTATGTCCCCTAGTTCGATGGCATCACGAAAAGTTACAGGGATGTGCAGCAGTCTTTCAAAAACAAACTCGTACGTAGCAGCTCGTCTCCATGTTCGACTGACCGCTCGAGCTTCACGTGTTCATCCCTCTGTAGGAGCAGGGTCAACCAGGATCAGTGACAAACATCACAGTCCCACACGGCCAGTGGAAATCAAAAGTGCCAGTGGTCCAGAAAGAGAGTAGCCCATTAGATGAATTTAATTTGAAAATCCACCACTGAGCTCACCCAGAATTAGTTTTTGATAGTGTGATGAGCGTGCGCACATAGACCCAAAATAATTTTTGATGGGCAGGACCAAGTCTGGCGCTTAGAGCATAATTATTGGCAATGACCTATGCAAATATGATGACAATTAGACTGCAACTAGAATGCCAAGCCCTCCGTGCAATAGAGAAAGTACTGGAACTGTAGAAGTGCCCCTTTAAAGCCACACAATCGCTTGATTGATGGCATCTGCATTAATGAATAGGAACTCCTGACATTCTGAGAATCTGTAGCCAAGCTACCACCCTATTTGTAGAGTATCAAATCGCAATCTTGTTCAACACGGATGTGATGTAGGAGGCGCGGGCATCACACAGTCGTCTGCACTCAAAGCTATGTCTAATCAGAGAGGCTGCAACACGGATAATGGATTTGCAACAAGGTCTTCATACTTGACTTAAAAAGAGAAGTGATGATTCAAGTTGCTCAAACAAGATGCGATTTGTCAGTTAAATTTCACCCAATGCTCTTCCAAGTCAACGTCATTTACTGCGGGAGCACGTGCTACATTTTTTACCTCGATCCAATGTCATACCAAGTGCAGATATTACGGACGCAAAAAAATCGACGCCAAATTTCACACGAAGCATTCGGAAAAGGCATGTAGAATAGACACGCCAATTAACATCCTTGGAGAGGACCACTCAAGTATATGCGCGAAAAAGTCTCATAGACGCAGCTTTGATGAGACGGTTTCGGCCTGAGTTGTAGACACATTTCTCAACTCAACCAGGCATGCGTACTTGTGTCCATATTCGTCGGTTTGCGGCTTTTGATTTTGAGTTGCACGATCTTAATTGTTTTGAAATAGTAACAAGTGCCAATCTGGAAGCAGCAAAATTGAGTGCGATGATCCAAATAGACCCACCAGGTAGTCTGAGCCGCTGTGGGGAAACGCAAACAAAAATACCGATTTCTTCGTGAGTTTTGAGCATTCGCAAGATATCAGTGGCTAAGATACGTGTTGAAGGGGCTAAATCGTGAAATCGAGCGCATTTCGAAGCTAAGCCTGTTACGGCAATCATGATCTTCGTTGCTCGAGAATCGAGTTTGCAAGTTGTTAGACCGTCCGTATTTCATCCAGCTCTCGCGAGTTCAAATTCAATTCAAAATGTTTGCAAAGCCCGTCACGCATGTCGATAGGTGACGCTGTGTATCGTCGCAAAGTCTTCTCGATAATCGTTTTGACCTTCGAATAGCTAACACTACACAAAGCCATGAAATGAGGTGCTAAAGACTCAATAGTGGGCGTGTCAAAGAGCTATGTGACTGGCAATTCAACTACAAACTAAGCATTCAGGTCACCTATCAAATGTGTCACTTAGCTTGATTTGAGCCCCAGGAAAAAGAATGAAGATTGTTAATCAAAAGTTGGAAAGGAAGAAGGGCTTTGCTGGAACGGAGAATCAAGGGAGACAGTTGCGCCGTTAGTGTTGCGAATATGCTAGACAAGGTCCTCTGTGAGGATGCTCAATTCATGATCACGTTAGTATCATTGCTCTGGACAATTTGAGCCGCGGGTCTATGCGGGCAAGAGACTCCGTGAGCGGTGGTGAGATCCGGTTTTCGCAGGTTAACCATATGAGAAACGTTCCAGATACAGGAATACCCCATGTGCGATGGTTCCACTGAAGCCGAATGAGCTCAGGCGTGAACATCATTGTTTTCCATGACCGTCTTTGGCTCACCCAACCAGTTCCACAGGCACCACAAAAGACGACGCAGCTACAGTCGAGGACAAGTGTGCGTTTAACCTGTGCGACTCTGATGGATCAGGACTCCACTGAAATGCAGCCAAGCGACCGTTTTAAGTGCGCGTTCGCAGTCACCCCCGACGTGCCGAGACATGTGAGCAATACAGAAGCCAGACCCGCCGCGGCTGCAGACGCCTCCAAGTGACCAATATTTGATTTCAGAGATGCACATTGGACTGAAAACGCAAGCTCGGCGCCTTCTGTTGGACCATGCAAAACTCCAACCGCGGCACCCACCTAAACCAAATGCAGAAGTTGCGGCACGCGATTATCCAGCACGATAATATCACCTCAATCGGGTCCCCGAGTGCCGTGCCTGTGCCGTGTGCCTCCAGCGTCTGACCTCGGGCACCACCATCCTAGACTGCCTTGATTAGCCGGCGTTACGATAGCCCATTGGGCGCAGTCAGGCTCGCACTCGGGCCGTCCTACTGAACCGCCGAGCCCAAAAGAGCATTATTCCCAGAGTCAAGTGCAAGTAGATAAGCCCCACAACCCTCACCACGGCAGTATCCATCAGCCTGGCGGTCGAACGTGTGGCATCGCCCGCGTGACGATGTCATTCCTGCTATCGCTGTCACAGTGTTCATTACCTCGCTGAGGACCTTCGTCCCAAGCGCCACACTGCTCTGGCATTCTCTACTTTAGATAGCCGTCCCGCACGTGTGCAGTGCTACTAAGGCGGATGAGCAGGCAGTATCGATTGAATAGCATGATCCAACAAGCCCAAGTGTGAACGACAACCGACCAGACGTCACTGACAACGCCCCAC